ATAAGATTTGATATTTAAAAGGTCATAAGTGAATATCAAAGAGAATAAAAAAGACTGAATCTTTATGCAAAAGATTTGAACTTAAGGTCATTAATGAGTATCGAAGAGTTGCGAAAACTACCTGACCGGGCATGACTTCTCCATTGATACCACTAATGTTGATTCCAGCGTATAAGCAGGCCTTGTAGTGAGAATCAACTACATCTCTCCCAAAAGATTTGTCTGCTCCAATACCGCAATAGTACGGTCCCTGCAATACGTTTTCGACTAAAAATTTAGCAAACCCGAACAACGGAAACGATACAAAACTAATAATAAATCCATAATCCTCACCTGAGGGCCGGGATAACCGCCAATAGGCCAACCAACTGGCCACTTCACATCTTTCTGAAGTAAAGTGTACTCTTGCTCAATACCATACCATGGCACTTCAGCTGCAACATCAGGGTGGCTAAAGACCTTAGCCGCAGCGTGTCTTTTGTTTGTCGGGATTGGTTCACCCGCGGGAGTGTAAGCATCACACATGACCTGATCAAAACCATTAAGTTATGATTGATCTAATAGAGTATGGATGCAACAAGAAAATATCAAAACTAAAAAGAAACTCACAAGAATGTTGTTCCCTCTACGGAAAGGATCCTTGAATATGGCTTGAGGGCTAAACATACATATACAAAACATAAAAGATTAATAAACAAGAATCGAAAAACCCGAAAGAGAAGAAACTGGTATAAGATCAAGAAAGAAAGATTATTAACTATAAGATGACTTCACTGTCTTCACCAGGAGCTTGACCAGTGCTTGAACCATCATAGTTCCACTTTGGTAGCTGAGAAGGGTCAGTCACTGGTCCAGGTAGAGTCTATACATATAAACCAGAATTACTACAAAATCTTTACTAAAAATAGAGATAAACCAAAATTATTTAGAGAATGAAAAATTACCCTGGCTTTGCTTCTCATGTCCATTCCAGAACCACCAACCCTGATTTGGTATTTAAAGAACACCAACAAGAGACAATATATTTCAGAAATTTCAATAAAAACAGAGCCCAAAACAGAGCAAAGGGGATAAAAAGTTTTGCAGTATTGGCATTGGCAGATTCATAAGCCTAATAGATTTATCAGAAAACTAAACAGAGATCTGAAGAATAAACAAAACAAAATTGACTCTAAAGGACTAAGAACAACCAAAGGCACAGAACCAAAACTATAATCCATACAAATCCCAAAACAAAACAGAGTCAAAAGTTGAAAAAACAACACGAACCCATTAGATTAAGGCTTGATAAGAGAACATATACATAATCAAAAAGTGATTTTTATGAAAGAAACAGAAGAAGAAGACGAACCATATGTATTCAGCAATGATTTTGTCAGTGATGTCTGAGAGGTTAAGGTTGATGAGATCTGAAACAAGACTCATGGCTACAAATACCAAGGGTTTGGATGATAGTAACAGTAATAAAAATGGAATCAAATCTGTCTCGTGTTTTGATATTTTGGTAGAGAGATATGAAGAGGAGTACTTACTTATAGAAGGAGAAGGGTGCAGAGAGATTGAGGAAGAGGGTGACGTGAAGGCTTAGGAGACTTTTTTTGGCTCTCCACAAGGAAAAAAACAAAATACAGAACTAAATATCAGGAATAAAATCACAAAAGATTCTTCTCCGGCTCAATGGAATCTCATATTTTTTAGGAATATAAAAAGTTAACATATATAGACACACCAGGTTAGAATTTGTATGAGGTAATTGGAATAAAAAGAGAAAGAAATGTAATTTATTTAAGGTATAATCTATTTCAATAAATGTTATAATAAAAGTTGCGAAAAATATGAAAATTCTTAATACTATATTTTCTTAATATGTATGAAAAAACATTATAAATAATATTTTGAAATAATTTTTGCAGTTTATAAAACCTATTAGCTCATATCTCTGTTTTTTATTGGTTTTAAGGTAAATAAAATAATACAATTTTGAAAACTTATACTCCATATGTTCCTGAAAAATTATGTTTTGAGTTTTACACATAAATTAAAAAAAACTTATATTTTTTAATTATTATTTTGTTAGTTTAGTAATATTAGTTTTACTTCTCTCATTTCTTTATTGGTCACAAATAAAAATAAGAAATAATATTTTTACAGAATATCAAACTTGGTAGAACTAGTAAAAAATTCAAAACATCAAATAACCAGAAACAGAAAGAGTATATGATATAAAAACTACTTTATTTGTTCCTAAAAGATCTATGTTCTAGAGTTTTCACATATATTAAGAAACAATCATTGTTTAATTATTTATCAATCACTTTCTTAAACTAAATATTTTTTAATAAATTTGAACCAATAATAATATGAAACAGTTAATCATTATGTCTTGAAATCTACCATTTATTAATATTAATTAATAGAAATAAAAGAAAAACCTAGAAAATCAATTTTTGTGGAACAAACTCAAAACACTAAGGAAAATCAAATATCTAAGAACAGAGGGAGTATCTTTTAATGTGTGAAAAAATCATAAACGATACTTAAAATGAAAGAATATCATTGATACATCATTGAATCGATATAATGTTAATGTAGACAGTGATTAGGTGGAACCACAATTACATACTCTAATCAATTATTTAAATTAATAGAGAAATTGTTAAAAATGCCCCTTTTTCAATACCCCTTTTCAAAAATGCCCCCTTTGAGAGTCCATTTTTAAGTTTGCCCTCTTTTATTTTTTAATGACCATTTTACCCTTATTTGAAACAAAATTAGCTCAACAAAATACAAAATATTTTTTGGCGGGAAAAGTGATCCCGCAATTTTCCCGCCAAAACACTTGTAAAAACTTTAAAATATCTGGTAAAATTTTTCCGTAAAAATTTTTCTCGCCAAAAATTTTTTTTACGGGAAAATTTTTTTTGCGGGAAAAGTGATTACGCAATTTTTTTGGCGGGAAAAATTTACAAGGTATTTTAAAGGTTTTACAGAGTATTTACAAGTGTTTTGTAAGGTTTTACAATGTATTTTAAAAGGTTTTACAAGGTACTTATAAGGTTTTATAAGGTATTTATAACTTGTAAAACCTTATAAATAACTTGTAAAACCTTATAACTTGTAAAACCTTATAAAATAGCTTGTAAAATCTTATAATATCTTATAAATACCTTATAAATACGTTGTAAAACCTTTTAAAATATATTGTAAAACCTTATAAATACCCTGTAAAAAACCTTTAAAATACCTTGTAAATTATTCCCGCCAAAAATTTAGCGCCAAAAAAATTGCGGAATCACTTTTCCCGCAAAAAAAAATTTTTGGCGGGAAAAATTTTTACGGGAAAATTTTACAAGGTATTTTAAAGGTTTTACAAATTGTTACAAAATCAAATTTGTAATTTTGATGTGTGCACATTCTCATGTTTTCCTTATATATTTGTGATATTTTTTATTAAAAGAAAGGTAATTTAGTCATTTTGTACATAAAAAAATGTATTTTTAAAAATGGACAGCCAAAAGGGATATTTTTGAAAAAATGTATTGAAAAATGGACATTTTTGTGAGTCTCCCAAATTAATATTCGTATTCTAAAGTAACCTACTTCGAATATTACTTTTAAACGAGATTCTCTTATTTATTAATTTAATATTAGATCGAAACCATTACCCTCACATCTCCTGTTTCTCTCCAATCAATTTATGGGTTTTAAGGTAATTCATCAAAACACAAGAATCAAAAGAAAAAAATTCCTTGAGGAATTATGTGAAAATATCACCGTGTCATATCGACATCACTAGGTCATCGTTGTTGTCCATCGAATTTTCGATCTTCTTGTATCTATTCTGGAGTTTTTCCACAATGACTTTTGAACACAAAAATATTGTACTTACTTGACAAGAAACTGAGTACCAAAATAAACCATCGATGCTCTAAACTCTGAGCAATACAAAACCAAAATAATTATCTAATACCAAAGATTTTTGTTTTTGTTTTTGTGGTCTATATTTAACTTATATTAAGATAATGAAACTAAAATTGTTCCAATTATATAGTTGAGTTGACTTTTTGGGAGCATGTAAGAGGACGTTCATGACCGGCATCGGGTGACTCAGCCCACCCATAAGAGTTGAAGTCTAAGTTCGTTGACTTTTTTATTCTTAATTCTTTAAAAATTTCTTCGTTTGATTTTTTTATTAACTGTGCTCTGGGAAATATGTAATTATTAGATATATAAACGAGTAAGTTAACCACATTAGGGCATCATCAATCGCACAACTGATCTTAAAATAATTATAATAATAAACAAATGAAGTAATAATATTATAATGAGATAAGAGAGAGAAAGAGAGAAAAATATATATATAAGTCAAGATCAATGCTCAAGACCAGATCTTGCTCAAGACCGTTTCTCCCCATGTTCCTCTACTATTTGAATTTTTTCTATTTTTTTATACCCAAGATCAGTGTAAAAGTTGTTGCATTGAGGATGGTCTTATGTATGAAAGTACTATAATATGGATTTTAGTTCGGTTTCTTTTCCAAATTTTGTGGTTTTTGAATGATAATATGTCCATGGGTAACGATTATGACTTTTGACTATAAAGATTTTGACTATAAAATATATATAATCGATTGGTAAAAACCATGATCATAAAAATTGTGACTTTGAATGATATAAATTATACCGAATTTATATCTAATATAAACTGATTACCTATATTTTTGTTTGATTGTTTTCGATATTTCATTACTAGAGTTGTCAAGCGGGCTTGAAGTCCGCGGGCTAAGCCCAATTAGTACAGTTGCGGGGAGGCCTGGACACTTAAAATTATGTCCATAAAAACGTGGGCATAGCGGGCATGGTCCATGCGGAAACGAGTTTAGCGGGTTGACCCGTTGCGGTTTGGCCGGTTTGCGGGTTGGTCCGCAATACTGAAACCTTTTGTTTCTCTTAGAGGTTTCTGATACGTTTGAGACAAACCTAAGTCTAAAACCCTACAGAACTGATTCTTTTCTATTGTGCTACAAGGAAAGCGAAAAGTCACGCTTCCCAGTTTCAAAACTGTTGAGGGTTGAGTCTTCGATTGATCCTGAAATTGAGAAAAAGAAGATGATCAGAGATAAGAATGAGAAGATGATGAAGAACAAAGAGATTGGCAATTAAAGGAAGAAGATGAAGTGGTCGTTAACGAAGGAAACGAAGAAGCAACGTTTTGTGTGTTGGATTGAAAAGGTGAGTTGGGCCATGTTGGTTTTAGTTTCGGCCCAGTAGAAAAATGAGTTTATGAGTGTAGTTGAAGCCCATTCGGTTAAGTATGTTGTTAGAGTCTTATAACTAAGTTATGTGAGTTTAGTTGAATTAAGTAAGTGGTTTAGGGTTTAGAAACACGTCAAACATATCACCAGGGAGATGATAATGAAGGACAAAGAGGAAGTTTTGGCAATTATGATGTAAGTACTCGTAAATTCTCTGTCTCTTATGAACTTTACAAGTTTCAGGTTATGGTTTGGAAAATAGCACGTTCTGGTTTTGAAAACTGCAAGTTTTGCATTTGAAATTATGATATTATCTATATCTTATGCTCTTAAAAAGTTTCAGGTTTTGGTTTTGCAAATTGTAGGTTTTGCTTTTGAAAACTGCAGGTTCTATCTCTTATGTTTTTAGTTTCAGGTTTTTGTTATTAAAATTGCCGGTGAAAACGGTAAACAAATATGTTTCACAAATTATTCAATTACATAATCTAAAATTGTGTATTAACTTTGTTTTTGTTTGAAATTTGCAGTGGTGGTGGTAGACTCTAATGGTGAAGATGAGACGTTACCTTCTTTTCAATCAATTGTTGATGATGAAACATTTGATGATGAAGATGATGAAGCAGCTTAAGTTTCAGTTTGATTTGATTTTCAGGTTTTAGTTAAATTCAGTTTGAGTTTAAGTATGACTTTGAGTTTTAGTTTGGTTTCAGTTTCAGACTTTAAGTATGATTACTTTTAGTTTGGTTTGAGTTTTAAGTATGACTTTGACTTTATGTTTGAGTTTCAGCTTTGGTTCTAATGTTTCAGACTTTGAATATTTGAGTTTTAAAAATTCAGTGTTTAAGACTTTAAGTGTTCCAAAGTTTCAGGTTTGGTTCCATGGCTTCAATGTTTCAGACTTTAACTTTGTTTAAGTCTTAAGTCGTATCGTGTTTCATTGTTTGATTTTCAATGCTTCAAGAGTTTCAGGTCTCAATTTTTTATGGTTAATGTGAAAACAAATCACACATTTAAAATTACTACACTTTCACTAATCAGTCACTGAATCACACATTCAAAGATCACATTACATGTATGACACATTCAAAGATTACACATTAACATAATGCCCGCGGGCCGACCCGTTTACCTGCTGGACTTTGCGGGGCGGGTATGGACACTGTTTTCTTTGTCCGCGGTTTAGCGGGCGTGCCCGTTGCGGTTTGAAAAAATTGCGGTCAAATGCGGGTCTGTCCAGGCGGACGCGGGCATGCCCGTCTGACAGCTCTATTCATTACCTATATATTATATTACCAATGTTGATATTTTTTATATGAGGAGAATAAATATAGAAAAAATCATCATTTCATCTGATTTTGAGAAAATAAATAACATTAGACGGCTGGGACTGTAGAGAAAACATCAAAAACAAAAGTGTGATCGAAAAATATTAGGTTTTAGAGACTTTATTTAAAAAGACTACAGCCTTTAAAGTTTCTACCAATCAACATAGGCTGTAAATGGTAACATGTATTTGTGGAATTGCTGAGGAATTCATGTAGAAAAAAATACATGTTACATCATTTGTATATGTGGAATTGTTGTAGAATTTTTGATCTGTTGTCATAGTGGTCCCACTTCAATCTTTGATTTATTGAATTAATCAAACCTTCAACAAATAGAAAATAAGCAAACAATATGAGAGGAAATCAATATGAGTGGATTTTTAAAGAACTAATAATTTTTGATATTTTTTTATAATTTATGTTTTTTTGTTTTTAATTTTGTGGATAGCCTTGGATGTTCAAGTATTTGGTTCGGTTTCAATCATGTAATTTTTAGTTTTGGATATTTTGGTTCTCGAGTTTAGTATACATTCAGTTATTTTAGAATTTCGGTTAAAAATTATTTCGGTTTCGAATATTTCGGAAGTTTCGGTTTTTGAATCAAGAACCGATTAGGAACCAAAACTTTTTAAATATTGTTTACTTCTTGTTCTTACCCAAATAACATTTCGGGTATTTTCGAGAAATTTTCGAATACTTTTAGTGTATAGTATTTTTTGGTTATTCGGATTTTTTATTATTCAGTATAAAACTAACTATAATATTTTAGATATATAATTATATTTTGGTTTCATTCAGGTATCCAAAATATTTTGGTTCAGGTTCGTTCGGTAATGAATCTAACTTAAAGTTCAAATGAAATTTTTTTTTTTTTTTGTGCAAATAAGTTCAAATGAAATTTAAGATCCATTTATTTTTATTATTCAGTATAAAACTAACTATAATATTTTAGATATATAAAGTTCTGTTGTTAATAATTTTAGAAATTTATTTGGGTTGTATAAAAAAAATTCAGTCAGATTCAGCAGTTACCATTTGAACTTTAAATTATTCAGCCGGATTCCGAAAAAAAACACAAATATATTCAGCCAGATTCAGCCAGATTCAGCCAAATTCCTCGGTTACCATTTAGATCCATAGTGTACTACGGTTTTCGGTTTGGATTCAAATTTGTCCAAAATTATTTTAATTTTTGTTTTGTTATAAAAAGTGAAAACCTTTTATAAACTAAATCAAAATATAATTTGATTTTCGGAACAATTATTTCAGTTTGCTTCGTATTGGATTGGAACAATTTGGACTGGACATCCCTAGAAGTAAGCACAAGTTGGAGAAGAAAAATGAAATGGAATCGCTGAATTTTGAAAGTGAATTGGATACGTACACGGGACCAATGAATAATGACTGTCAATATCATTACTTGTACCTTCAGAATTGGTGAATTGTCCAATAAGAATTATTGCATTCACAACTTGCATAAGGTACATGTCGATAAAAGGTACATTCATTTTCAACTGTCTTGCATATGTCATGTTTCTTAGACGATCGATTCAATCATTTGTAAATACATAATTATTAGTTTTCTTAAAGTTTTGCATACAAAGATTTACATTTTCTAGTAGGTGGATTAAGATCAGATGCCGTTATGTTTACAAAATCAAGTTTATGACCAAAATAACATGTCTTCTGATAATTATATAAATGTGTTTTTTTTTTTTCATTAATTTGAAAAGCTATTTGATAGAGTTTGAAAATAATATAGTTTTTTTTACTTCATTGCAAGTTTAAAGTTATTATTATAACTACCAGTTAATATATAACTTCATTGAAATCTATATAGCTTTTTTATTTTATTTTTGTGTGTGTGCACTCATATATCTACCAGTAGTTTTTACTTCATTGCAATTTTGAGAAATATCTAGATTCTATTTTATTATGACTCAAGCTAAATGAACATTTGTTTTGTCAAAACCTAAATGACACACATAATTTAAACCTAGTATCTAGATGTTGAAAAGAACTTTTTTGAATATTAATATATATATTTTTAATAATTGTAAGTAAAAGTTTGAAAAATTCTCACTCTACAGCAGCATCCACCAAAGCTAATTTGAATTTTCGTCTAGTAAACCCAATTTATAGATTTAAAGCTGTAGTCCACTTTTTAGAAATGTTTGACTTAACTAGCTTTAGATAAAAGTTCTTTCTTTTTTTTGTTTGATAAAAAAAACTTTAGATATGCGGTTATAAACTAATATATGTAGGCTAATGATTTATGTTAGTATCATTTTCGCATTAAAATTCGAAATCCACATAATGTATTATTGGCAAAAATATTTCGTGATTATACCGTATAATTTTACTAATTAGCTAATTTGAAAAACAAAATGATTAATTTGTGAGCAGATCAACGACGTGCAAGAAACTATCAAATGATAGTACGGAGTGTGTCTGTAAACATATTCCTAAGGTGGGCCAACTGATTGTTACACATTTAAATAAAATGTTGATGATAGTGTAATGATGATGAATTCACATTATTCAATTCATTAATTAGATTAACAAAATTTTCAATCATTAAAATAAAATCTTGAAAACAGCTATGTGAAAATCCGTTAATAAAAGTCATATAATTGTTGTTCAGTTTCTGATGTCAGATCATAGGTCCACTCTCGCAAATCAAGCAGCGGCATTTATGCCTGTACGCATACGGCATACTCAATTTTATTTTTAAATTATAAATTGTCGAGATTAATTAGTCGTAATAATCAAACGCAGCAGAAAAAAAGATGAAAGAAATCAGAAAAGTTCATCAATATATGTACTACAGCTGTTTGAACAATTTGTATCGCCACTAATTGGCTGGGAGAACGGCCAATTCCCCCCCCCTCCCAAACTTAGTTACTTTATCGGATTTATACACATAACTTTGGCTCATACCAAGTTTTTTGATCTTTGTATTAATTTGAAACCTTTTACCACAAAAAAAAAAAAAAAATTATGCGTTGATGATAAAGTATTAGTAAATGTTATGTATTGATGATTGATGATCTGGTTAACAGATTGAATTAAATGGCATATTGGTTTGCCATAAAACAGACGGAAGATGTTTGATTATTGTAAGTTGGTCATAGTAAAGGTTATGCTCAGGCCCATTGAGTTTTGGTATGTCTTAGATCGAAGGCCTAGGTGAAGTCAACTATGTTTAAGCCTAGACTTATAATCTCCCTTTTTTTTTTTTTTTTTTTTTTTGTTATAAACCATATAGATGGACTCCATAACCGGTCCATGGCCCATTAGAATTTTACCTTATTCTCTGTATCCTGCTATTATCCTTGTATATATATCCCCTATCCTATTAATGAAAGACACAGTTCACAACACGTTATCAGCACGATAGCCTCTTACCCTAAAAGTTAAAAATCCCGAAACCCTAAATCTCTCTCACAAAAACCAAAACCAAAACCCTAACCGTCTCTGTAAAAAAAAAAAATTCTAAAACTCTATCGAGATAAGTTTTCTGTTCATATTTGTTTCTGCACGAATTTTGCACGGATTATCTGTTATCAATCCTGTCTGTATTTCTGCACGAACTTTGCACAGATGATCTATTGTCAATTCTGTCTGTAGTTTTGCACGAATTTTGCACGGATTATATGTTATCAATTTTGTCTGTATTTCTGCACGAATTTTGCACAGATTATCTATTGTCAATTCTGTCTGTAGTTTTGCACGAATTTTGCACGGATTATATGTTATCAATTTTATCTGTATTTCTGCACGAATTTTGCACAGATTATCTGTTGTCAATTCTGTCTGTAGATTTGCACAAATTTTGCACGGATTATTTATTATAAATCCTGTCTATATTTTTGTACGATTTATGCACGGATTATATGTTATTGATTCTGAACTGTTTTATGCAGTATATTACAGAAACCCTATTTTTTTTTTTTTTTTTTTTACTAATGTAATAGTCATGTTTCTATGAGCAAAATTTTGAGTTTCTCAGGAATCAGGATTATATATATTAAGATTTTGTAGGAGGTCCCAACCAGCTAAGAGACATAACTGTTTCCAATCTCCGTATCAGATCTCGGGTCTCTGTTTCAGTTCTCCAATTAAGATAAGTGCTATTTATTTATTATGCTTTCTATACATGATCCAATTAAAGTTTGATAAGATAAAATTTGCATGAAAATTGGCACATGTGATTTGATTTATGATTGGAGAATTAATTGAGAAGTTAGTGAATGGAAAGATGTTTAATGGCATGATAGATTGAATGTTTTAATATAAACCCTAGGTTAAACCGAAAGTAAACCGAAACCCTAAATCCTAGGTTAAACCGGTTTAATAAACCCTAAGTCACGGTTTAAGATCAAGCTTCCTATAAATGGAAAGTTTCCAGAAATAGAAAGTTCCATATAAAGAAAGTTTACAGAAATAGAAAGTTTCGTAAAATAGCAAGTTTCCCAAAATAAAAGGTTTCCTAAAATAGCAAGTTTCCCAAAATGGAAA